TCGATCATTCTGCAACGGTTCAACATATCTTATTGAAATTTGGCACAGATATAAAACAAAGTCTGGAGTACACATGGGATAAGCTTCATCACCGAGAAATGTCCAGTTCCCGAGGGATACGTAGCTATTTGTAATTTATATAGTTCGTATGTTTTCTAATACTACGCGGACGAAGTTGCGGGCAACAGCTCGTATAACTATAACTAAAAGAAAACATTAGTGCGTGCGCACATCTCAAAATAAACAATCGACAATCACACAGAAGATGCGATTGTCGATTGTTTCGCACACTCAACTGTGTATTTGCAAACCTAAAAATCGAGTAGACTGCGCAGCTCCATATAAGGTCAGAGGAATCAAAGCGAGACTAAACAGTTATGCGATAATTTAGTTTCAGTTGTGCGCACCCTTTTTAAATGTATTAGCACAATCTAACACACAAAGCTTTTTATATAAAGCTTTCCCACAGTTTTGAAGTTAAACATATTTCAAACGTCCAACTTGATAAACTTACAAGTTACAAATGTTCGAAAGTTTTCTAACTTGGATTACCATCTGCAGCGGCAAGTGAAATCTTTTCGGAGGAAATTACGTCTTGACAAATCTTATTCCATTACGCATGCATTTCAATACTAACACGACTTGATATAAAATATCGTGCATGTAGGAATAAAAAGTCACTTACTGGTAAATTTATGTAATTAGTACATTATTTTTTTATCTAATAAGTAGATTAGTTAAAATAAGCTTAAATTGAAGCTTTTTAAGTAAAGAGAAATGATACTTACTGAACTAATAATACTCCTATATCTGGGTTTCTTCTTGAAATCTAAAATATTTAGTTTTCAAATACTAATTTGAAAAAGTAGTCAAGAGCATTTGCATTTCAATAAATTAGTTAATTATATCTATGATTTTATAAGAATCTGTAAGGTGTGTTTTTATTGATTTTTTATTACCTTAGCTCTTTCGTAGTTTCTTTTTCGTCTGTAAAGTGTTATTTAATATTACTGATATTAAAATAGCTTTGTAAATTTGTAGCCTAAACGTCTGAACGGATCTCGATTAAATTGGTAAAGATATAGCGGATAGTCTGAAATAACTATTCACTTTTTTTCTTTATTCGAGTTAAAGTCGCGGGCGTAAGATAGTGTTATAATTAAAAGTAAATTAAACGACTAGTTATTTACAAAAATAAAAAAAAAATATATACAGTGTTCAATTTTTCTGGTTGCTTTTATAAAAATAAAATTATTTAAGCAATAAAATAACATAAACTTATTTATTTTATTGTTTGTCCTTATATTTATAACGTAAGTATACTATGCTTAAATCCAACATGACGTACCCTCACTTGACGTGACTTGATTTTCTCAAATATAAATTACTACCTTGTGCCCGTGATTTCGTCCGTGAAGAATAAGTTTTAAAATACTCGCAATAAGTAACTAACTGTTTTTTTTTAAGTGTTGGTTACATTTTTTGGTGAAAGAAAATTTCCTTCGATTTTCATCTTTCATTCACTTAGACATTTGGTGAATGAATTTTGAAAAATAGTTTCTTAGTGAACAACCGAGTAGGTAACAGGATTCTTTGTCCAGTAAGCCAGTAACTTGGACTGTGCGTGGTTGCATCATTTATTCAGTTATTTTTTTTATGTATACAAATTTTTGTATGCAGCGTAGCAACGCGGCATAATGGTGGCAGTTTGCCAGACAAATGTGTTGGTTGCAGGTGATTTCACTCGAGATATGGCTGTGCATGTTATTAGTAGTGTCTAATGTGTTAAGAGTTCGATAACTTGTGATGAGAGACATCATTTTCGTAATAAAAACTCCACCGAACTTCCGAAATTAATTCGTCTTTTGTTTTAATCAAATTAAACTAAGAAGTATTTTTTATACCTTTTGTTATAAAGTTTGTTTTTAGTTTACTTACAGATTTTGTCGACGCTGGATGGGTATTGCTAGTATTTTGTACTGGAATGTTTTAATATCCTGTTAGAAAAATCTTTTCTATTTACATATTAATAATTGAAATTTCTATATATAGAAATGTCTGTCGTGTTCTTAAAAGAAATTGAGAATTAATTTAACTCCAAATCCAGCATTAGAAGTACGTATTTTCGATTACAATTTATCGCCGTCAAAGAAAATCGGCTTTGCCAAAGATTTCAATCTATGCGCAATCTTAATTTAAACCGATCAGCATTTTTATCGTGTTTTACTACGATTTTTTTTAAACTGTCGCTTTATAAAAAAAAGTGAAACTTACTGGTTTAGCATTTCTGTAACACACATAAATATAAAAAAATAGTTCATCTGTACATACAGACAGATATAACATTACTTGATATATTCAACATACCTACGATCAATGTAGTTTTTACCATTTGTGTATAAAGATTTGACAACATCCTGGAATGAGTTTTATTTTTATACAAACACTGGCTGTTTCCGTGCGACTTCAGCCACATAAAATTAAGAAAATTTTATTTTATTGTTTACATTTGTCAAATTATCAATTACAAATGTCAAAATGACATAACATGATGACAACCTTGCTTCCTTGATGTTGGAAGTAACTTATGGTCTCTTTCCCACATTAGGGTTTTTATCCAAAATATTTACCCCTTTAGTTTAATGGCGTTAAAATATATAGCCTAAAGCGTGACGCAATTAAAGGAAACATTCAAAAATATGCTATATTTGCTGACATTTTATGCAACAAAGAAGTGTGTGTTTACGCTTTATTATAATTGTATAGATTTACAAAAATGGAATTTAAAATTAATATTAAAATTACCAGTAGTCGATTAGTTTTCCTCACATCAGTGTAAAGAACTCGGTCATAAGTGTTTCCGTAACTGTGATCAAAGATTAAATAATTAGAAATGCACTAACTCTTATGTGTATTAACGACTTTTCCCACTATCTAGCCGTGCGACTATAATGGCATGCGACTTTTATTTCTAAGATCAGTATATGCTATTTTCACTGATGTGGCCGCAATTCCCAGAAATAGCAGTCTCGTCGCCTTAGTCTCGCGGCTTTTAGATTAGTGGAATAGGGTATTTATACTTACGTTATTCCCAGCTTGTCTATATTTCCATAGACAAAATTACTATAATCTTTCTGTGGGAATGTAATTGAAGACTTAAGCATGCCTAGAGCCGGCCTTAATAACGTGTGTCCAGGCATTATAGGTTCCGCTCTTGGCAAGTCCTCCACGTCGTCTGGGATTTCCAGTATATTGTCATACATGTCATATATTCGTCTCTGTAATATTGTAAAAGATAAAGTAATCTATCATTGCTTAATATGTGATAGAAAGTATCGATTACCAAGTAGTGGATGATAATAATATAAAACCTGCATATTAGCTATTGTGCTCACAATCAGGAGAAGAATTAACTGTTGATTTTCCACTATGTTACTAAAATTATACTATAACTATTGCTCGCGACTTTGCCATTAAAAAAGAACAAAACTTGAAAATAAGAAGTAACAAAATAGCCAATGTTACTCACTGATAACATAAAGACTTATAGATATTGGCCCAGTAGTTTTGGAGTTATATCAATACGTACAAAAATACAAATCTTTCCCCTTTATAATATTATTATAGATATATAAAGGTATTGGGGAAGGCCAATGTCTAACAATAAGCAGACAAAGGCTGATGATGGTATAAAAGTATAATTTTTTTTACTTTTATCCTTGTTTTTGACTGACTTCCCAAAAGACGGACGTACTCAATTCGTCTAGGTATATTTTTTTTTGTAAAATACCCGTAAATAATACTGTAGAAGCTTTTGTCCGCATTAATACATTATTTAAATAACAAACTAAAATACATTGAGATATATAACAGAAGGTCAAGCACGTCTCTCTCGCATCTATATTCACATCATATTGTTCAGCTTAACAAAGTTACAAAGTTGTGTGACACACGTCTAAATTTAAATTAACTTAACAAGTGTCCGTCGGTAGCAGGACTCTCACCTGGACTACGTAACTTAGTTAAATACTTGACGGAAAAGCCGGTTACATGGACGTAACTTGATACGGCAGTGATGCATAATTATATTCGGCAGTTCTAATAGCATTAGAGCGTCAGTGATGCAGTTGGTAAGCGTTTGTTTAGACAAAAGTGAAACCCATAGTTTCAGGTTCGATCCCCGCCTTATATCAGTGCCTTGTTTGAGTTTAGGTAGGATTATTTCCTATTAGATAAATTTATTTGACGTCTTACAGCGACAAAAAACATTGTAATAAACTACATGCAGCAAAGGTCGACACTAACTTGGGTAGGATGTCGAGCTGAGGTAACGGCAGATATCAGCTAATAAAACACGCACAATTCTATATTCATAAAATATATCTCCAGTTTTCATTGTTTGTAGCAATAAGGGTACAATGCTTTGCTAAATTTATTTCGGGCCGCGTTTAAAGGGTACGTAGCCGCGAGTAATTCGCTTTTGAAGATAAAAGCATTTCATAGCTCTCTGTGCGATTGTTCCTTCCGGACTACAAACTGACGGAGTTTGTTATTAAAGTGATTTTGTGAAAACATGCATGAAATCCATTTAACTTTTAACATCTCCGAAGTATTGAAGTAGAAAAGTACGATAATTTAAATTTTATTGGATACATTTTAGTAATTTGACTGGTTCCGATGTGTTCTTTTGTAAATTCTGGGCCCAGTTCAAATTGAGGATGGTGTTTTAGTGATTATGAACCTTGTCTTTCAATAAAAAGAAAGGGTTTCTTTTAAAGAACTCCCCCGATACAAAAAATGCTATACTTAAAGCAAATAAAATTAGTTAAATGATAACAAACAAGAAAGTACACGGTTTCAAATTACATCCAATTTGAAATCTCCATGTAATTTCAAGGATGCATCAAAATTGTTGTCAGTTTCCATTCCGCTACAGTCCAAACAATCGTATAAATTGTGTAGGACAAAGTTATATTGCGTAGCAGATAACAACAACAGAGAAATTTCCATATTGTACCAATAAAGCTTTCGGGTGCACGACGAGCTTCGTGTTACTTAAACTTTAGAACTTTGTTCAGCTTTACATAAATTTAAAAAGTAAACAAAATGTCGTTTTCAAAGTATTAATTTCTTTTTTACTTCGCTTAAAATGTGCTATTGTATTTTATACACTGTATCAATAAAAGTTAAAATAGAAATCTATTCTAAAAATAAAATATAATACTTACCCGAGGAATATTTAAGATTCTAAAAGGTAGCTTATATTGCCCTGAAGATAACACTATGTTCTGAAATTAATAACATGATCGGATATTATAATATGATTGTTAAATTTTATTACAAAGAAATGACCTATTGTTTTAAAAGTCTAGTTCTCTGTATTATGTAAGTGTTAATTATCAACAAATTTAATTTTTACAGTGTTAACATATATGAATCAGAATTATGAGAAGTAATACCTTTAACCAGGAAAGGATGATATAAAATACGCTACGAACTAGTGATAATAATTATTAAGTAAAAAAAACGTTACCATTAACGCATAAAATAAAAATATTTGACAAAACATGTTCTAAAATTAACATCAGATCACAAGAAAATATTCACAAAATGTCCATGTCACTAAAATCTAGTGATATTTAAAAAAACAAATCAAAAGACGTACCGTGAAATTATATTGCCTTAAAATAAATTAAGTCAGTCGAAGGTATAAATTGTTTTGTACAAGTAAAAAGTTAGAGTTAGAAACGAAAAGGCAAACATGACATTAGGTCTAACAAAGATGAAATTTGGAAAAGATGTCACTTCTTTGACTATTAATAAAAGAAATGGTGAATAGAAAACTATTGACATCTGTGAAGACAAACATACTTTCATTAGGTTATCGAAATTAATAACTTTTAATACGCTTCTACGAAAAAACCGTTTATCGAGTTACAATGTGTATTTTTCTAGTGGAACTGAATCATTTACGACACAATTGTCGAAATCCCTTTGAGGTGTGCATGCCTTATCTACATCTTGGCTGCGGTAAGTCCACTCATCGGTGAATCAGTTGAAGGCCAATATCGAGCATTCTAGTTGGCCTTTAGAAAAATGGCATTTCTTTTAAACAACGACTAAAAGCAAATAAAACCAAGATACTTGCAAAAGGTTTATATTAAACTAGATTATATAAAAAGTAATAAACATTGCACTTACAATAAAATAAGTGATAATTATTTTAGAGGAAATAAAAAATACACATGAGGTAATAAATAAATGCTAGAAAATGTTTGGAATGGTTACAAAGTCTTTGGTACAACTAGAAAAAAAATTAAGATCAATTTATCGGTGGTTTTACTTTTGTTGCAAAACTGCCCATTACGTTACCTGGTGGGTAGTAATTAGCAACAACATAAACTTGCCCTTCTTTTGATTTCGCCACACCCACTCCAAGTTCCTTACTGTCTTCCCAGATGACTTGTGAAAAGTGACCAGATTTCAAGTCAGTGGGTTCCCTACCAAAAGCATGTAAGTTAATTTCGTTATACCATTTGTCTACAGGATCTCGTCCATAAACAGTGAAATTCGGATCCGAAGACCAAGCGTAAAATATGTTTTCACCATATTCATTCTGATCTCTGTGTTCAACTCGACCAAGTTTCAAAAGTTTTTTAGCCCATTCTTCGGAATATTTACAAAGCTTCTTGTTCAGTTCAAGAGGAGGGACAGCATGTTTTCTGCGGTATTCGTTGTGTGCTCTTAAGAATTCATCTTCAAATTTTTCACCAATTATTGACGCTGATCTAAATTTTGTTACTAAATCGGTTGCGATCTCGGTAAAATTTTTGCTGCTTCTTTGGCTTGGTGATGATGATGTTATAGTATTAGTTTGTTCGTGGTATGATTTGGAACTGCTGTAGCTAGATCTAAACTGTAATGCTCCGGGGGGCAAAACATTTTTCACGAATTGTCCACTATAGTTACCTGGTGGAAAATAATTGGCAACAACATACAATTTGCCTGATTTACTTTTAGCCGTCCCTATTCCTAACTCTCGTGTATCTTTCCAAATAATTTGCGTAAAGTGACCACATGTGAGCACTTCTGGTTCTCTTCCAAATGAAAATTGATTTATTTCACTATACCATTTATCGAGACAGTCTCGAGCTTTGATTTTCACATTTGGATCTGGTGACCATCCGCAGTATACATTTTCACCGTAGTTTTTATTCAGACTGTATGACATTGCATCTTTTTTGGCTAACTCGTCAGCCCACTTTTGACTTACTTTGCTAATTTC